GATCTTTAAAACCCGCTTGGATGCAGCCCTGTGCCACGTGCTCTAGGTGACCCTGCGTGAGCAGGGGGGTTGGACTCGATGACCTCTGAGGTCCCTTCCAACCTTCGGCATTCTATGATTCTATGATTCTATGATTCTATGATACAACCACTGCAGCTCAGAGGGATGCTGACCAACATCTGCCCACTTACCTATCCCCAAATTCCTGCAAGGAATTGGTTTTGTCTTTTCTGACATTACATTCCTCCAGTCAAAAGAAACCTGAGTTTCACATTTGGTATCACATACAACCAAAAGTTAAAAAAAAAAAAAAAAGCAGTTTTCTCTCGCAGTTTTCAAAAAGCCTAAGGCAAAGCAAAGAAGAAAGAGCTTACAAAGTGTTCAATGATGACTGTTTTAAGGCCTGGACATCCGCAGTAGCAGCCAAGAAGACTAATACACAATCAGTTCTGCATCATGGAAAAAAAAGACATCCATCAAAGCAGGTAACCATGTCTCAAAGTCACCTGAACACCTTCCAACACTATCTCATACTGAAAAGTCCTTTAGAATTAGAATATTACAGAGCAGGATGCAAATCTCGCCCACTTTGTCTCCGCAGCAATTACCCACGGCCACATGACACACAAACCACAGCAAAAGCAGCCGCAGGTCAAGTAACAGCAATGACTCAATAAAGAAACCTGCCTGGGCGGGCGGGCAGGAGGGGGAATTTATTGGTCAAGTACTTTATGACTCACAGTACAGTATATTAGAAATTTCTCTATGTATTCTTTAGAATTGTGAGAGATTGCCCTTGTAGCTCAGTAGGTAGCTCTCCTGTTTCTGGCCTACAAGGTCATAGCTTTAAGTACCTGCTGAGGAAACTTAACAAGTTTCATCTATAAATAGAATGGCACTAGAGGCTGCTACTCGATCAAGGGTGGCGGCCTTTAGATAAGGATTTTTTATGTTTTCATCTTCTCTGATAAGAAAAAGAAATTGGACATAGAAGAGCACAATATATTAGGCTAAAGAACGAGAGCGCAGGCTCCGAAAACCATTGTGACTTTGCTTAGCACGAGGCTTAGAATTTGAGCGCTATCAAACTGTAACGAAGGCTAGAGAAGAACGTAAGAACAAGAGTCTGCCTTTCTCCACGGGCATAAATAATTAAAACTGCAGAGTTCACAGTAGCTGAGGCTGGAAAGAAACCCACTAGGTACGATGCAATCAAAATTCAGCTCGTGATATCTAGATGCAGCCTTACTGGAAAATAAGTCTCAATTTTTTTGATTAGTAATGAAAACATTTACAAATTCATAGCTCTCGTCTTGCTCTTCCTGAAGAATTACAAGGTAATACATCCTTGAGATACCGTTATTTAAATACTAGGAATAAACAGGATGGCACTAAATAACGCATACGTTTTTTCTCCCCCTATCTATATAATTTGAGAGAGTTATTCTGCTCTCAAAGAATAAATATGGGTAATTACTTTTGTGCAAGAAGTATAAAGGAAAGACCTACATAAACCCTTGAGCTTATTTATGCATTAAACCATAGCTACCTGCCCATACCAGGATATGGTTTAAAACTCAGATCATTTTCACTAACCTGGTGACATGATTTACCGTGCAGTAAAGGCAAAGTCTAACTCAGGGTGTAAGCAATTTTCCAACGCTGCCTCACAGTTCTCACCCATGTGCCCAGCAGAACAAATTCATGTCTTCCAGGGGGAGCAGAGGAAGAAATAAAGCAGTATAGGATACTCCAAACCAATCCCGAGGCACAAACCCCTATGTTTTGTCCACATGCACATAGAGAAGAAAGCAGCACTCCTCTATGAAGGAAAGATATGGGAGAGGAGGGCAGTTTCACAGCGCTGCTTCCTAGAGCCGACACGGACTAACCTGATGCTCAAATAGGAATAATGAAGGACAGGTCTTGCACAGCTCTCCGCTGAACGGCACCTAGGGAGCCACTTTAAGGCAATGCTAAAACTGCGAAAGACCAGAGTGCAGCAGCTGCCTAACTCGCAGAGGGAGAGGTGCGAGAGGACCAGGAAGTTTCTGCAACGGCAGCGTGAAACCTGCGGCAAGGCAGGAGCTCCCAGCGCGGGCGCCGGGCAGGCGCGCAGAGCTACGCGTCCATCTGCCTTCCAGGGTCTTGGCTCCGGCTCTTCCCAGCACGGAAAATGCCTCTTTTCCCTGCTTTGTAGGGAAAAGAGAATTTGTAAGGGCAGTTCAGGTAGGACAGCAATATTCAGCTACATTTACACTGCCATCTAACTCGCTGCTCACCTGCCCATACCTTAGTGTTGCTTAAGGAGTACTGGGAAGTAGCCCTTAACCTAGAAAAGCTTATCTGTATCACCATGACACCATGATTAGATGAAGATAAGAAAGAAAAACAATCACACAAACAAAAAAACTCACTGCAGTTGTGTTTCTTTCATGGTATCACAGTATGTTTTACTGGTAGGAGGGAATTCGGTCACTTTTTCTGAGTCGCAAGGAAAAAGAAAGCAAAGCAAAGCCACTACTGAGCATGGCGCTCCCTCCAAAACCACAACATACACTGCAAGCCTTTGCTAATAAACTGTCCTAGAAGCTACTTCACTTTTGGCAATGATTTTATTAGAAGGTGGGTGGGGGAATGCCATTTTCACGACCTTGTGACTCAAAGGGTCTCCTACACAATGCCTCACCCACAGAAATATTCACAGCTTTTTATAGTACTTTAAAAAAGCAAGAAAATAACCATTAGTTAACAAAATAAAACATATTTTAACATATGTTAAAACATACATATCACTGCAATTACATTTTTAATTTGAACGATTTTGCTTTTTTCTTAATATATCAAGAGTTACTGAAAGCTTAATTCATAAGGTTTAGCTGAGCTATGACCTGCTCCAAACATTTAAGTATTTAGTTATTCCAACAACAGATGAGAAAGAGAACGTCTCTGTAAAAGCTCAATAGCATAAACATCCCAGCTGCGTGAAACTACCATGTTTAATATGTGCTGCAAATGACTTCTAAACTTTGATAACTCAGCAGTGAAATGTTTCTATACGTGAGAACCTTGCCCCTTCCCCCCCTTTATTTATTTATTTATTTTTTTTAAGACAGGAGGCAGCTACATTTAGTCACAAGTCTTCCAAAATATACAACATAGGGAACATATGAGGAGCAAAAAAAAAAGGGGGGGGGGGGAATCTTAAAAGAAAAATTTGAATGAAAATATGTTAAAATACAATTTTGCAAGACGCCTATGTTTACATCACTTGAAGGTGGATTTCAGCGCCTAACAGAAGAGCTCCAAATCACAGCGGGGACACGAGTGGGCTCTACCGCCACAAGCAGAGGCGCTGGGCCGCCGCGTGCGGCGCGCCGGAGCGAGGAGGCGCGAGCCCCGCTTCGTGCGCGGAGCGCTGCTGCTGCCCGCGGCGCCGCTCGCGGGGTCCTGCTGCGAGGGGAACTTCTACAACAAGCAAACAAAAAACATCGCGTCTCAAGCAAAGGCACGGAAAGACCAGCATTTTCTGGATACAGCAGAAAGAGGGCAAAAATAGAAAAAGTTTTAAAAGGAAAAGTCAGAGCAGAGGATTGAAAAAATACATGTCTTTATCAACTTCACTGAGACTTAATTGAACTTAATTAATCTCAACATTGAAAATAATGCTTTGAGCTCCCCATTGATATTCATAATGATACAAATAAAGCGAAGGCAACTGGATTTAAAATCTTGAGGATGGGGGGGAACAGTATGAATATTCTCTCACCCAGTTTTGATATGCATTTACATTAGGTAAGAACTAACTACATTCGGCTCGTGCGATTTGGTATCTATACTTGCTATAAATGTTAAATAGATGTAAGAGTTATCTCAAACTATGAATAACACAGAACGTGGGATGTACAAAACATTAATAACGACAAACAGACTTAAAACTGGAGTAAAAGCCATTAAAATTTTGGAACTAGCCATGGAGACTATTGAAACCAGTTATTTCTACAAGTCCCCAAGAAGATGTTTACTTAGCTTCACGGTTGTTTCAATCTGTCACCACCAACAACATACCAGCAATTACCAGACTCACTAACATGCACTAACATTCTGTTTCCCCAGAGCACCTTAAATTTGCTAAGTTTATGTTGCCTGTTTGAGCTGAGACCCTAGGCAAACACCATGGTTTTATTTATTAAAAAGGAAGAACTTGAGAGTGAAGCATTCTTAGAGGCAAATTTCCTTCCAATTTCTCTATGTTTGAAAATAAAGACTGGACTTCATTAGAGAAACTAAAAATAAGAGAAAAATGTGGAACGTATTTTCTAGAAACCCAGGACCTTTGGCGATCAGCAGGAAGGGAAAAGTCTAAAATATTAAGAATTCTGGCTCTTTAACATGCAGTACAATCAAATCTTGACAGATAGTTGCAACAGGGACTAAATACGACATGTACCATTTTCCTCCCTGAAGCGCTATTTAAGAGTAATTTGTAAATTTACACTTGTAACAAGGTTGCCATTTTTAATCCACCGTACAAAGAAAGTAATTTTCTGCAAGTGCTTGTGACTGATATGCCATAAAAGTTGAAAGGCGGTTAAAGGCCTGCGACTCAGGAAGAAACTTATTACAGCCTTCTGGCCGCCTGCCTTCTGCCACGCTGCAGACATTTCTGCTCAGTTAAAAACCACTGTACCTGCAACAGGAAAAATACAGCGGTGAGAAGTGCTTCCAACTAAACAAAGAAGTAAAAAAGAAATACAAAGAAATTTAAACCTTCCACAGCTTTAAAGCATATGTCAGGTTACCTTGCTACTAGTGTAAATGCTGTTATCCAGGACAGAAAACAGCTTTTTAATTAAACTCCCCGTTCATTCAGTCAGTAGTGAGTATTTCTGTTTGGACAAAGGTTTTACACAGATTCAGCCAAAAGGATAGTCCCCATCCCAAAGAAACCAGGATAACTTCCAAAATAAAAAGCAGCATTCTGAGATCAATCATCACTTTGAATACCAGTAACCCATTCTCAATTCACTTATTTTAAATGGAAAAAATCTATGCATCTAAAAAAATCTAACACATCTCAAAAACCCTTCAACAATATAAGGAGAAAAAAAAATCTATGAATAGTTACTGTAGACAAAATAATTTACAAATAAATCATTTCTTCCAAAGAAAACACAATTCAACATATACTGAATATAAAGAAAAACAAGATTAAAACCTTTGGCCTAAGACCAGAAACATTTTCCAGGCGGGGGCACAAGTCTGCAGTGTCACACTCTAAAGCTCCCCCAGCCCAGCCCGCCACCTCTCGCCCATCAGGACCTTAAGGCCACTTCAGGGAGTTCACTTCCAAACGCTTTCTGCAAAACACCAGCCAGCAAAACAACATTAAAGCCTGGAAAACAGCAAGATGCAATGGTTCATCTAAATTCCTAGCACCATCCTGTTGAGCCCTCTGTGAGGTAGAAACACAGTTCCTGGTCTGTGCTCCAAGACAGACGCTCCGCCAGTCCTGCAGGGAGACAGGCCACCAGCTCCATGAGGAAGCAGACGGCTGCACACACGAGCACGACCAGGTGTCTTCAGCGACCAGCTAACACCACTAGTCCCAACTGGAGAGCAGCAGTTTAAAAGCCTTCCCAAGCAAACCCAGGATGCGTTTCCTTCTGGAGGCAGCAGCACTGGCTGGTGCCATCCGGCCCGTTCGGCACCCCAGGACAGCGGCGGGAAGCTTGAGGGGCCTCCCAAAGCTTCCCAAGGTGACACAGCCCTCGAGGTGCAGGACATTAACACCCCAGTGCCTCATGTTGCAGCTCCAGCACCAGCTCAGGGCGCCCACAGGGAACCCACGCGACAGGCCACAATAAACCATTTCCCGTGCACAGAATTTCCCATTATCCAGCAGGACTAAAACAAACAAAAACACAACGCAGAGAACAGGCCTTCTGAATGGGACTCAACAATACAAACACTAAATGACTGCTACCAAGATCTGCATGAGAAACTCTCCAGAAATAGTGTGAGACATCCGATTTTTCATTCTTTTCAAGATGAAAACATTTTCCTCACGTAATGAAAGCTACATTTGCCACGAATTCAACACATAAACGACTGCATCTTTCACAGTGCTAATGTGAGAAGCGCTTCGTAGTGAAAGAAACAAGTGGTAAGCACATAAGGTCTTATTCAATAATAAAGTCATTAAACCCATAAAAAAATCAGTTGGCTTTGTCAGCAATGCTAAAATATCCACAAAGGGTATAACACCCCCATGGAAAACAATATTATTTTTCCAGTAATCCCGATTTCAGGCTCTTTGGTTCGCAACCCCTGAAAAGCAGACCAGGTCCCACAGCCAGGCTGCGCAGGAAGAACTTGAGCCAAGCCCTGGGAAAAGGCAACGAAAGCTTCAACCATCCCCTGAGAACTGAGAAACCTACAGATGGGCAGAACTGCACAGGCACCTTGTGTGACCTGAAACGGTACACGCTCGAGACATGCTGTAAACTCAAGGAGGTTGCCAGTGATTTTGAAAGGTAGGTATAAAAACATTAGAGCATATAAAAAGGGTTTATATTTTTTTTTCTAATAGAAGGAGACATGGTATGTTGAAAACTTCCATGGGTTTTAGGCTTTAACTAGAGTTTGTGTTGTGTAACTCAGATTCATTTTTTCTTAAATTGAATAGAAAGGCTATTACTAGCTTTTAGTGCCATATCTTCAATTTTATAGCACTGTGGGAAAAGAAAAATGGAAGTAATATGCATTCTGCAGTCAAAAAAGAGTAATGATTTTACATCTCAGACTAATTTGCATTATCATTTTTATCATTAGCCTTATTATTAAGGCTAATGCAATATTTCAAAATACACTTATTATGTGATAAACACAAAATTCTACAACAGGTCATCACTAGATTACATGCTAGATAAAACTTGCCCTTCTAGGAAAGGGAGCATAAGAGGCAGGGTTAAGATTAAAGAGTGCTACTTAAAAAGAACAGGAATATTGTTTGAAAATGTGACTCCATTATCTTTACCGTAATCCACAGAAGATGTAAAAAAAACATAGCGACAATCATTTCACAACCATTACATTTCAGAACTTCTGAAAGAAGCTAAAGTTTGTTACAGAATAACTCAACAACTAGATAAAATAGGTATGAATACAAAATAACAAAGTATCTGCGTGGTTAAAAAATAAAACTAAAAAGCATAATGGACTCGTTTTCTACAGTTCTCAAAGAAAAAAACACAAAAATGGTGTTAATCCTTATGAATTCTGCCTAAGACAAATGCTGTGGATGATTCAACATATATACTAAAAAAATCTTCTCTATTGAACGATTTATCAGTCTGTACCTTAACCAAACAGCTATGATTCAAACATCCAAACAGAGTAAGTATAAACAGTTTATCACTTGTTCTCAATTGACAGCAGACAAAACAGTAATTTCAACTCCAGGACAAGGATACATTCGAGGGAACTGATTGCCTGGCTTTCTTTGGGGCACCACTATACAAGCGGTTCTCAAGAAGTCACAATAGGAACACTTAAAATGTATGAATGCACAACCCTGACATATCAAACTAGCTCCCAACAGGACGTGAAATTCAGAAGACTTACCTCGCTCTAGCCCACCAAAGGCTTAGCTTCATTTTTTCAACACAGTTTTAAATACTATGAGCTGTTTAGCAACGAACATCATTCGCAGAAAACAGCAATACTAGTACTAATATAGGAAAACAAGCACTCAAGTGGGAGATGTGTTTAACCCCTCCACTGTTATAGCTGGCTTTTAGATACCAGGAGATCTTAACAGAAGCTTCATGTTTCCAGAACCTGTCTTTTTTCCCAACAGTGTAAGCCTAATAAAAACATGTTACCTTTCCGCACAAAGTTTGCCTCACTCAGTTGAAAATATAGAAAGGATAAAATGAACCAGAGGTCGTTTTCCCAAAACCATGACTACACCACCAGCACATGGCTGCATTGGCTTGTTTCTCAGGCTTTACTAAATATTAATTTTCCCCTAAGATATTGCTGTATGCATCACTTACTACATGAGACCTGTTGACAGGATTCAACCTCCAACATGGGCTACTCGCTGGTGAATCTAGGTCTCAGATTCAGTTGCAAATCTGAAATTACCACCTCCCACAAACAAACCAAAGAAGAACTGCGTTCAGCCTACAATATACGTAAGACACATACAACTGACCTGCGCTTTTATAAATACTGTATGTTCAGCTGACTGTCATGTTTATTGTTAGGCTATTACTTACCCTCAGGTTGTGTGAAAGAACATGCAGATCTGTAAACAATCATTTGCCAAAAAAACTCTCAAGGAATACAGCAGAATTAATACCTTTAAGGACTACTACACCTTTACCACTGTCCTCAGTCCTTCTACCTCCTGCACACTTCTAAACACACAGGTTCATTCTTAAATTCTCGTTGCCAACCTGCTTTAAATAAAAACTGTAGAACAAATATGCGTAGAGTACAACAGCACATTCTTTACGCTATCCATGGAATATAAGTAAGTTTACATACGCATCAGATGAAAGATCCCATCACAGGCGTTAATATGAGACAAAAAGGAGTTTCCTAAGCCTTGGCCAGTATGGGCTCCTTTCACAAGGCCAGCAATATCCACCACATTCAGAAAGGCTGGAATTTTGCTGAAAGATAAAAGTTAAAAATGTCATTACCAAAAGATATAATCCAAAATGTTTGGCACAGAAATAAATCTGGAACCTGAAAATGACATTTTTGACTAGATTGTTATACATGACAATAACTTTCTTCCTCATTTAATTTGCTATGTTAAAAAAAAAAAAGGAAAAAAAAAAAAAAAAACCAAGATTTCTCCCCCTGCCCCAGGCAAAACACTACTTTATATCATTAACAATGTCAAACAAAACAACACACACACACACAACTTTTGCTACGATGTGGGATCATACTGACTTCCATACGAAACATCAGCCAAACCTGGACTTATGAGGTATGAAATGTCACCTGTAACAAGCAGCTCTCCTAACACAAAAGGCAGAAGACATCTAAGTGTCCTCACAAGTAACTGTCTACACAGAGCAGCAAAACTCAAATTTCAGAGTATGTTGGCAGTTCCTAACCATGTGTCTATATTTTGTGTAAGCAGAACACCACATAAATCCTTCCCCCCGACACACCCCAAGGAAAAAAACATACTAAGTGAAATACAGAAACATAGATAATCATTATCTCCGTTCAAATCAACGTGTGGAACTAGACAACAGTTCTGAAAGCTATTTAGTGCTAACTCCATTTTCATGAAAACGTAGATAACACAACCTATATAGTTTAACAGTAGCCAACTCGCAGCCCCCTCGAAACGCACTCCCTAGCATGGGGAAAGGCAACCCAGCCCCTCTGTCCGAGCATGTCACACTCGCATGTCGGGCAGGACGACAACCTCAAACCAAGAGCCATTACCCTGCTTTTGCTTTCCATCTTACTGCAATGCTTCCCAAGAAAAATAGTAGTAGTTGTTGGGTTTTTTCCACTCTAATTTCTCAATACAAGATTTGGACAATACTTCTTTTCCTTCCCAAGGCAAAGTTCAAAGCATTACTGTACTTGTCAGGTGCACTGAATTAGGAGCTTAACGACATTTCATGTCATTAACACCTTTGTGATGCGCTTGCAAACAAGCAAGAACACAAGCCAGGGCTCAGAGGCAGCTTAGGAAATATGCAAGATGTTTACAAAACAGCATGAGCCACTGAAATCAGGGGCACCTAACACCTCACCTTCTAGCTTTAAACTTCACAAGGCCTGTGAAAACAAGGGGGCATCCTTGGAGACACTGCCCTGGCATGTGTTGTAACTTAATGCTCCTCAATGAGGCGGGGAAAAAAGGCATATAAATACACTCCAAACAGAGCTAACTTTGACAGCGTTACACTTCTGCTCCACTAAAGTGTTCTTGGCAAATGCTATCAATTAGATATTCTTTCTATTTACCAGTATGCAAATTCAGATGGCAACAGCAAGCCAGGATTTTTAAGCTTAATGCACTACAGAGAATAGTGCATAGCCTGAGGACAAAATCAAACTAATAACTCCACTAATGCACTAACCCTACTCCTCCTTTCCCCTGTGATGCAGAGCTACTGCACAGCTCACAAGAAAGAGCAACAACTTCCCGGTTTTGAAATTCTTGCTTTTTAACAAATACTAACCCTTCTAAGTCATCAGCAACATAGAAAATGCCACTTCTTAAGGCATTGTCATTTAAAACTGTGCCAAGAAAAGAAAGGTGGCCCCAGAGCGGCTCTCTTTATGCCCCTCTAACCCCCGCAGGGTGATGAGCTTCCTGGCTGCCAGCACCCCAATTCACACTTTCACTGCGGAGATGCCTCTTGCACCAAGGCAGGTACCTTCACATGCAGATGGGCCACCCTGTCCCCAGCACCACCCTCATTTGCTGCACAATGGCTGCAACACCCAGCCTATTTATTTCACAATGAGCTAGTAAGAGCAGGAGGCCTTTGAAGAGCCAGTATCCGGCTTTCCAGGCTATTTCTGATCCTCACTTGGCTATCACAGAGCTGACACCCGGGCAAAGTAACATTGCCATCGTGGTTGGCAGCCTGAATCTCTTTATTTCATCACAGAAAGATGAACACAGAGGAAAAAGGCATAAAGCTATTCAGAATTGGGTATGTCGTCAAGAAGTCCAAAAAGACATAAACATGTCTAAACCAAACCTGAACGAAATGGAAAACACTGCAAAGAACAGAAGTTCTTTATATAGGTAGTGCATTTTAGCTCTTTTAAATGCAGAAAACAACTGAATTGTTCTTTCCCCCCTCTTCCTTTAAATAGATTAATTTCCATTTCTTAAGATTCGTTAGTCAGCATTAGCATAATGTCACTGAGCCTCAAATGATCATCAGGAACAGGTGGCATCAACTGATCATTTGTACAAATCAGTGCAGCACCAACCTACCATAAAGGAGGCACAGCAATTCATTACCCACAATGGATTACCAGATCCAGACCAACTTACTTTAAGCACGAGCGTCGTCCTTGAAAAAGTATGTCCTCTTGGAAATTTCCAAGGAAAATGCCTAAACCTTTAGAGCAGGGATAGCAAACTACAGTTCTTGTTCCTGAATGGCTACAAAATGGTACTCTTTTGGCCCAAGGGCTTGTGCAAAAACAACAGCGGGCCAACGCAAAACTCCTGTGTTTCTTCCTCACCATTTTGCTTTTAATCCCAAACAGGGATTTACACAGGCAGGGCAGGGAGCTCCTTTCTAACAAGAGCTGTGTGTTCAGTGCAGTCCCAAGGTAGGACTCCCGCACCCTAGGGGAGCTTTGCTTTCTAACCCAAGGCATAAGGAGATTCAGGGGAGCACCATCTCCTTTCACAGCTTTCTGAATTCCTGCTCCCTGCTCAGTAACTGAAATGAAAGTTGAGCAACCACCTCGCCCAGTGTAACCTGAGCAAGGGACGGTCCCCCTGAGGGCTGCAAGGGAAAGGGCCTCCTCAGCACTCGGTGCTCAGGAGCAAACACCCGCATGTAAACACCCAGAGCTCGGGGCGCCAGAGCCCAGGCCCTGCTCCCACTGCTACTCCCTTCTACAGAGACATGCTGCATTTGTGTGTATGCACAACACGTTCCAAGCACCTTTGTTCCAAGGGTTGGAGGAACAGGGGGAAAGGCTAAAGTTTCCTCCTCTATTTCCACAAGTGAGAGCTATTACTTTGAACATTTAATTTAAGTTAGTAACAAAATATAAGCTAAGACTTTAACATGAATTCAGGTTTTTAAAAACATATTAAGCTCACTGTGTCTCCTTCCTCCTTACTGCCTCACTTTTATTCACATCAGAAAGCCAGCAACAGGCAACACTGAAGCTTAACTTCAGTGGCTGCTGACAGTTGCTGCTGACGGCTGCTTCCCCAAGGCAGCAACACGACACGCGGAGCAGGACCAGGAACACGCGGAGCCAAGAGACACGCGGAAGGGCAGGACCTGCCTCTCAAGCCTGTACCACTTTGGCCTCTCTTGTGTAAATATTTCAGTTACAACACAGGCTTTTTTTCCTACCATGTTTGTTTTATCGTGACTCAGAAGTTGTAAGATATGGGAAATAGAAACCTGAATGCTTTAGGTTTTACAAGATGAAAACTTGGGGCCAGAAAGACAAGAGTCTAATTTATAGAGAACTCATGATACTTGCATAGAAGCTCTACATTTCTGCAGACTACCTAGTCCAAGCACAAGTAGAAAAATCAATACAGAATGTATCACCTGAGAAAATAAATCCAGACTATTCAAGAGAAATTAAATAAATTGCAATTCAGTTGTACGCCTTCACGACCTTTTTCCCCTCCCTCAGTTATTCTCAACCAGGTAAACATTGTCAGTCCAAGAATTGTTACCTCAATCTACCATGCTACTGAATCATTATTGCTTTATCACTGCTAAACTTTAATATTTAAAAGATACACACAGAAAAACTGAACTGTAAAATTCATAGGAGCTCCATCTACTCACTAATCCCCATAACCATTGGGTTTAAGTAACTGGCACTTTCATAGAAAACAAATCATAAGTCTGTTCAAATGAAAGCTGATTTATTATCTATATCCAGCAACAACTATAATATTTATGGGTGACTTTTCTATCCCCAGAGAGCACGCACAAGTATTTGTAACTTTAGCATTCCTTGTAAGGATAGATAACAACAGAGGAAAAGAAAAATGAAAATAACTTCTTTATCACTTCAACTATTAATTTAGAAATTGGCGGTCACAGTTAAATATCTGAACAAAAAACAAGTGTTTATGTGGCAATGATAACATTACCATTTAGAACAGATTTGTTGAGACAACACAACTTGAAAGTCACACCATTATTTCTGCACAGTCAAAAGCCCAAAATTATTGTATAAAACTCAGCAGAGTTATTTTATTAACTAGCACAAAACCACGTATTCACAACATCCATCTGAAAAGAAAGAATAAGGCTACTTGTTATAACAATCCACCTAAGCAAACAGCTCCTCCATGTTAATACATTTTCAGTATTTACAAAAGCACAACTTGCTTTGGCCCTGAAAATTAAGTTATCTAAGGGATTTTAGTGAGTAGGTACACGGTCCCTTTTCACTCTGGGCATGATCCAGCTCTAAATCCTAGGCCCAAGAGTTGAACAAGACCAGACACACATGCTGAGTCGCTCTACAATTTATGTATTTTCATTTTATTCAGAATTCATAGGCAAGTAACTGCAAACACATGTCAATTAACAACTACCTCTTTCCTTTTCTGAAACACTCAATCCCCACAATGAACATGCAGATGAAACTACGGAAACAGCAGAAACCAATGATGTGACAAAACTGATGCTCTCATAGAATAAGGAAGAATAAGAAGAGAAACCAAAGGAGTATCACTGAATGTATCTGGCAACAAACAGCAAAGTCTGTAAGGAAAAGAGAAAAATCCAAGGAAAAAGAGTTGTCCATAAAGGTTATTGCCCAAAGACTAAGACTGAACAGAATTTAAGTATATACAGTATTCTGAACAATATAAAACAAGAGAGAAGTTTAATTAATAACTCTCCTCACTGCAGTGACTCACTGCACAAGTGCAAGTTGTGCACTGATTCACTGCACAAGTTACACATAATTCCTTTACTGCTCGTTTTCCAAATTTCTGCAGAGGACCCTCCAAATCCCCTAAAAGTCACTAGCTTGAAAGACAGGACACTGAGCAATAAATGACTATATTTCCAATACTCATACCACAAACATCAAATGAAAAGAGAGAGGTACATTCCAGGTGGTCGCATGCATCACTCCCCGTTCAAAAAGAAACTTCAGTAGACTCTTAAAGGCTGTAATGTTTAATTACAAACAAAAACTTGAGTTACGTAACACTACTGCAACCAAAAAGCTGTCGGAAGACCTCAAGAACTGGAGTTACCTTGGAGGTTTGTGGTACTGGCACAGGAAGTCAAATCTGTCATCTGGCACAGGCACTCGACTCTCGTTTGGATCAATGGTGCAGAAAGGAAAGTTTTCTGCCGCCGCTTGACTCTTCGTTAACACATTGAAAAATGTGGATTTCCTACAAACAAAACACATTTCTGAAGTAAGTTCCAATTAGAAGCATTTAGAAAAGATGTGTTGACATGCATCTCACCCTAAGCCAAATGCAAGGCTCAACTCCCCCTTTCTTCTAAAGGCAGTAAGGGAACAGTACCACTTTTGTGGTACAAGACATGTGCAGGACACATCCTGAGGTACCCATGGAAATGTTGCCTCTTGCTAAGCAACTATACAGTCCGTTTCAATCAGTAGAGAGGTTCAAGTTAAGAGCAAAAGAGCAACGCTCAAATCACCAGCCACTCCTCACCTGCCTTAAGTGTAAGAAACCAGCAAGGAAGCCTGGTGGTCAGCTGCCACAAGTTACTTCCCAGAGACAAATCTGCATTTGAAAACTCACCAGACTTTTCTACAACTGTGCTGTTCCTCCAGTGTTGTTTAGGAATCAAAATAACTACAGAATAATCATTAAAAGTCAAGGAGAGAAAAGCAAAGGCAATGAAGATACTGGGTCCCATCAGTTAATCAATTACAAGTAACCTTCTGAAGATACAGCTCTATCTTACCTAACATCTTCACCATGCATGTTAAACACCAGTTAAAGAGCCACAGGTAGCAACAGGGAGAAAGAAAGGAAAAAAATAATAAGGTAGTTTTCCAGATGCTTAAGAACTTTCTTAAGCGAGCCTTGACTCTCCTAACAGCAACATTCTGGTTTATTTCCTCTGCAGTTTCACACAACTGCCCGGCCTCTGGAAGGAGGCCCGAAAGTTGCCCTGCAGGCAGCCAACACACTGGAAGCCAGTGAGGATTTCCCTTGAAAGCTGCAACCTTCAGCAACAGACTAAAGGAAGCTGCTCTTCCCTCACATGAAAAACATGAATCTGTTTGGAAATACTGTTAGAAATAATTGCCAATGATTATTCTTCCACATTTACTTCACATGTTAGACAGCGCAACTGATAGTTATTCTCCTTCTGCTGTACAACTTTCCTAGGCTATAAAACAAAAAATAAAATACAATTATGAGAAGATGGCAGGTCCTCCTACCTGAGACATGCCCAAAGAGCTCCCATGGGGTTATTGTTAGGAGAAAAAAATGGCTGCTTTACATGAAAAAGAACTTCTCCTGAAACATTAAGTTGGTAAAAGCTTTCAAGAAGTTTTTGAGCTATCAACCAAAATTTAAAACCGGGAAACAGTACGCAATAAAGTGTTTTTTTGAGTCTGTGGAGATGGAAAAGCAAGTGTACTTTCTGCAATTTTTAAGCTGTTTTCCCCATTTCCGCCCGTTCTCCAGTGTGGGTGTCAGTCGGATCTAACGCAGAAGAGCTCCCTCAGTAACCGCCGGGCGGGAGGCGCTGCCCGGGGCTCCCGCAGCGGCAGCCCCGGTGCTAGCGGCCCTGCCAGGCGGCCGCTCGGCCCGCACCGCCGGGCCGCTCGCCGCGCACCTACCCGACGTTGGGCAGCCCCACGATGCCGATCTTGAGCGACGTCCCGAAGCGGCCGATGATGGGGTGCGACTTCACGCCGTCGCCTCCCTTCTTGGGGGGCATCTGAAAGGGCAGAGCGGGAGCGTTAGCGCCGCCGGGACGGGCCGGAGCCGCCGGGACGGAGCCGGCGCAGGGGTGGCGAGCGCGGACGGGCCCGCGCGCGGCCCTCCCAGCCCGGCCTGGCCCTCCCGGCGCCCCGCGGAGCGCAGCGG